CTCATATTTCATGATCACGTGAAAAATAGTTTGTGTTACCGGTGATGATCACCACCGGTAGTAAATAGCAAATTTCTATTAAAATATTAAATATAACTACCCAAAGTTAGATTTTTTGATTCACGAAAGATAGTTTCATGCTTAACTATAACTTTAACATATTCTTGGTCTAATAAACACCCAGCTAAAACTTCCCGTAATAGTGGTTGATAGCTTGAACATAAATTTTGAAGTAAATCAATGAAAAATGGATTTTCAACTATAGAAAATGAAATACCACAGACTATAAATGCCTTTAATAATAAAATATTTATAGAATTTATTCGTTCTTCAGATAAGTCTTTAGATTTTAGTAGAAAAAATCTTGAGAGATTATTCTGCTTATCTAATCTTGGTTTTTTTGATTTAGTTAAATTTTCAGGTGACTCTTCTTCATTATTATGACTAGCTACACGTAGTAAATATGATTGCTGAATATGATCTTCAACATAAGGGCACTGCAATGCAAAATGAGCTTCAAGCTTTAACCATTCATCTCTTGCCTATTTAGTTGAACAAAAAGAACACTTTGCTGAGTAATGTTCATATGAGTTTGTTTTTTCATGGTAAAAATATTCCCATACTGGTGCTAATATACATCCTCCAGAGTTTATTCTATTTGATGTATTTGATTTGGAAGTATTAGCTAATGATGAAATAGAAGTACTAGTTGCTGATAAAGCTGAAGCTGAAGCCAAAGAGTCCAGTGATTCTTCTCTTTCAAATGTATATAATGAACATTTAGGTACTTTGGATTTTCATTTGTTTGATGTCATTTTTTTTTGTTTTTTTTTGATACGCGATAGAAAACAAAAATGCCACGAATTGAGGTATTTATATATATATATTTTTATGATCATAATTAGAATAGCCCAGAAATTTTGTTGTTTATACTTGTTTGCTTGATGGTATTACACAGCTTCCAAAAAAGATAATAATTTTGGATTTTTTTTCTTATAACAAAAGTATACTACAGTACGCATTTAAGGTATTTATAGTTTTTTTTTTATAATCGTAAAATTGAGTATGATGGTATTACACACTTCCAAAAAAAGGATATGGGTTACTGTACGATGATTTGAAATAAAAACCCGTTTACTAATGATAAAAAAATTTTTTGCATTGAATTAAGATTGAATTTGTAATACATATAAGAGATAATAACAAATTATTAGACCAGACCCAATTTTCAACTGCTTGAACATTAATTGTATTACTTTTAACTGACATAAATATATTTCAGAAAGTATGTAAAAAATTTATATTTGTAACATCAAGAATTATCACAAAGAGAATAGACAAGTTAGTCATCTATTTATACTTCAAAAAATTACATCATAATTACAGGTTCTATTGTATTACAAATATTAATAATGATGCATGATAATGATGTAACTATATTTGTCGCTAAGCATAAAAATTTTATAATTTTACATTATTTATGCAGTTAAAGTACTTTCAAATTATATATAATAAAAAATGCACTGGTAAAATTATAAAATTCGCTATGTTGAATGGCGAATTTTAAATTTTACAAGAAAAATTTAAAACTATACACATACTATATAATGTAAATAGAATTTTACAACAAATCAGATATGTTAGAGTATTTTCATTTCATTAAAATAAAGTGCATAGCAGATAACATTACAGTATTAATACTGATTAACTCTATATTATATGATATTTATCATTCGTCATAGGTTTCGTCAATCGTCACAAGTTTCGTCAATCGTCAATTCGTCAATTAGAAGTTACTGATGAAATGGTTTCGTCATTCGTCAATGACAAATGTTTCGTTATTCATCAAGCATCTTTAACCGATATCCTGTCAAAAAATTAGTCTACCAATTCCATTCCTGTTATATAAATCTAATAGTTTGTTATGTTTCAAATCCGATAACCTCTCAATACTGAAACAAAACCTGTCCACCATGCATACCAATTCTGAGAGGTCGACTGAATCAGTTATGAGATATTATCGGACTTGAAAACATAACAAACTATTAGATTTATATAATGAGAACGGAGACTAATTTTTTATTGGTTTTAACAGGATCGATTTTGAGAGGGTGACTATATTTTGAACCTAAAGTGAAGCGGAAGCCAGACATTCCTAAAATTCAGCAGAATAAAGCTTTCGACTCGTTTCCTCAGCTCCAGCCAATAATACATGTTGATTCCGGATTGACAGGATTCAATAAATGACAAATAATATAATCCTGTTCAATATATATAGTGCTAAATAAATTCTTTGAATAATTTATAGAATTAAAAACAACAAAAAAATTCTACGCAATTAATAATTTTTTTATCTAGCTGTGAATTTAATTTGTCATTTCTAGACCCTTTCAGGTCCAAAAGCTGATATATTAATTTCGCTGCCGGTAAGATTTAAATCACAAATAATTCTTGTTGTTTTCTGCTTCACATAAACATGTCAAGGCTCGTATTACTATACATTTATATTTGTTTAAAATCGTTTATATTTTTTAAAACTTCTGAAAAAAATAATAAAATTAAAATTTGTAAAAAAAATTGCTGATTAATAACATGTACAGTAATAATTTGATCTTAGTGTGACATTGTAATAATATTAATTGTATCCGAACGCTAATGCATTAATGTGTAGTCTAGACATATTTAGAACTTTTTATAGAAAAAATTTGTTTCCGTTATAAAATTTGACGTATATGACATAAAATTTTGAGGAAAATTAATATAATTAATGCTACCTATAAAAAATTATCTGCATAAAAATTATATTAAATTTCATGAAATTTTATTTATTTATGTATAATTATTATGTAATTAGTTACATAATTTACAAATTATTTTAAATATTTAAATAAACTCGTGAATTTCTATTTACTTTCTCATTTTTGTAGCTTTTCGCATTTTTGATTTTTCTACATTTATTTATAATAACACTTTAAATCACTATGAAAAATTTAATCCAAATAATTGTACTTGTCGCCATAACCTTTAGTTTGGCTTCTGCATATCAAATATAGAAAAGAGATGAAGGTCTACTAAATCGAATTTTTTCGAATAATTCATCGCAATCCTCTTCTGCATCAAAATTAAATACAGATGCTGCTACATATACTTGCCCAATTGGTTATGATTTATATAAAGATTTATCTGCGGGATGTTGTCCTCTCTGTTCTACTTGTTGCTCTGGAGGATGTTGTTCATTTGTTGCAATGATGCATATGGGGGATGTTGCCCGATGCTTACAACCTGTTCATCTAATTTAACGGGCGGAACGTGTACTTGTTATGGAACTCTTTGTCCAAGTGATACTAATTTACCTAGTAATCCTTCTAGTAATCCTAGCGTTACCATTAAACTTAATAGTCCTAGCACTAGTATTAAATCTAATAGTCCTAGTACCAGCATTTATAATATTGCTAGCCCTAATAGCATTTCTAGTATTCCTAGCCCTAAAAGCATTTCTAATATCCCTAGCCCTATTTCAACTCCCAATGGCTCTCCTCCTAATAGTTCTAATAATCTTTCTAATAATTTTCCTGCCGCTGGTGTTGTAAGTGGTAGTAATATTTTTTACAACAATAATGTTTTTGAAAACAATTTAAATAGGGTCCCGATTTTTCCACACCCTTTTTTGATATTTCCACTCCCATATGTAAATCATGTTTTTTTTTAAAAATTCGATCGAAAGTAACTCGGCACCCACACAACCAAATTCGATGAATTTTTTTATTTGAATTCTACAGAACTGCAGAATTCAAATAAAAAAAAATTCATCGAATTTGATTGTGTGGGTGTCGAGATACCTTCGATCAAAGTCA